TGTGTGTGTGTGTGTGTGTGGCTCTCAAGGGAGGTGAAATTAGATTTGAATGTCCACAAAATGAAACGTAAATGTGTGTACTCACTAAGCTTCAACAAAAACGGTGCGATGCAGCTTCCCAATCTGGAGATAGTCGACGTTGTTCCTGTGGCTGTGTTCCGGAGCAACGTTGGGTAGAGCTCCGATGTGTAGGTAAATATCATGGAGATGCCAGTGGTGAGAGCGTATTTACACAATATCTCCAGAGCAAGAGACATGTGTGGTAGAGCTAAAAGATAAGGGGAAAGTTAGTTTTATAACTCAAGACAGAGCAGAAACACATACAAGCCTAGAGGTTTGTGTGCACTCCTGCATGATCATGCAAAAATTACTGAATTAATTTCTATGTTGCTTGAAGGAAGGTTACATTTGCTACTTGTAAATGGTCTGAGAAAGAACCCATTGAGTTTTGGCCTGTATCCAAACTGGGGCAGCCTCTAAAAACTGGTACAAATAAGTTTTACCTTCAATGTGGTTTAGGCCTAGTGTCCGCTGTGGGCTCATGCACCTTCATGGTTTATATGAACGTAACATTTCATCATTAAATTAGCTTATTTATCTAATTACATGTGCATCATTTCCTCAAAATGAACAAAGCCCTTTCTAAAAGAGCAGTGATGTTTGAAACCAGACCTCATCAGTCATTCGACACTGATACAACATATTCGTACAGTTCACCTCAACAGAGTGAAACAAGCTTCTTCGCTTTGGTTTCATATTTCACCAACTACTTCACACTATATAACTATTATGTATAACTAATGTATACTAATGATGATTTAATGCACGAATGAATAAGAATATGTCATGATCGCCAATAACAAATTATCAGTAATAGTAATATGACTCCTAATCATAGTAAATCAACAGTTCAATCCAAGAAACCGAGTTGAAGGCTACAATAACCTTAATGAATAGTTTCGTTATATATTTTTGTAGATTTAATCATTTCACCACACTGTGAATGACTTGGCACCAAGAATCATTGTGAAAACAATCCTGCAAAACAACAGGGAAATGAGGAGATGTGCCTGTTTATTTTTTATTTCGACTTTGAGTCTGAAAACTTCCAGTGTCAAGGTGTATTTTTTAACTCACTTTCTGGTACAAGTTGAAAGAGGAACAGTGGCACTGCTCCAAAGAGCAAGATACCGATGATAGAATTTCGTCGTGGAAAATATCGTAGCGCCAGCCAGCTGGAAATGTACGCAGGAACCTCGATGGCTGCTGAGAAGAAACAGCTGATGTAGGGGTCATCATGGAGCAGGGCCGTGCTGAAGGACAGGCCGAAGTATCCAGTCGCCATAGTGAACCTACAGCAGAGATGTTGATGTTGAAACAGAAATCTGAATATAAATAATCTTTAACTCATACACATGTACGCACTCATACACAAGCACATACACGTGGACATATATATACACGTGCATATACATATACACATGGACATATATAAATACATATACAGTACATGTGCACATGCAGATATCTATGAACATACACATTCACCTACATACACATGTACACATATATACACATGCACATACACGAGTACATACATGGACATAGAAAGGCATTCATGTAAACAAGCACACGTACTTATGCATAAATATATACACATACATACACATAACATATAACTGTGGTGGTAAAACATGAAAAATGTTTTTTTTCTAATCATACATGTTTCCAAAGTGAAAGATATTCTCCTTATATTTTCATTCACTTGTGTTTTAACAGGTTCTAATGCGTTGAGCTGTCTCAGCCATTGTAGCTAGTAATTCTAAAACTGTTTATAGGGTCAGAGAGGATCTCAGCGTGATGTGATATATGGAGGATGAAGTGACACTCACGACACCAAGCAGAGAAAGATGGTTGTGAGTCTGATGTTGCTCTTCCTCAGCAGGTCGAGGAAATTGAGGCTTTCCTTCACGTCTGTCTTTCCCTCATCATCCTGCAAGATACAAGAACCTCAGGCTCAAGATGTTCTTTGTGAAAGAGCTCTTTATTATTATTCCTTCCCAAAACGATCTTTAACAAACACTTGTCTTGGTATTTGTTCAACATACTGTTCTTCTCAGCCTCACTGCCGAAAGGGTTAAAGTCTACTTACACTGTAATTCTCAAAGATGACAGGAGGAGCCTGAAGTTTGTTCCATTTAGCAGCTTTTCTCACTATGGCTTCAGCCTCCTCCACTCTTCCCTGAGAGAGCAGCCACCGAGGAGACTCCGGGATGAACCTGCCTCATTATACAACAGTTTCAGTGGATCTAAAGACAATGACTTTACAACAAATGTTACTCTTGGGAAACTGTTAAGACATTTACATTGATCACAATGGGTATTTAAAAAAAACCAACCAAATCCTTTAAACATGAAGCAAACAACCATTTCTATGTGAAGAAAATAGTGTAGTACTGTTGCCCTGAGCAGAGAATTCAGTCAAACTCTCGATGTTCATGTTTATGCATGATTGTGCATGATTGTGCAGGATTGTGCATGATTGTGCATGTGCGGCCCTTCCTGTAAAATCATGTCTGCTCTCATTAGCAGTTACGTAAACATCAAGGACATCCAGGTGGAAAGTTGTTTTTCTTTGCAAGCTGTGATCTTTGAGAATAAAAACAATTGTACCTCTAACCCTCCCACCCAACTGCTGTTGAACCAGGAAAAAAGAGGCTACAACTAATTTTCTATAAATTCTCTGGGTTACAAAAATGATACCCTGCACGCTGACTAGCTGCTAGCCGCCACGCAGACCCGGCTCCACTGTTCTCAGGGTCACTTCACTCATTTGTGCTTCTGGTCATGTGTTTAGGGACTACTTTTTGCAAACCTTGCTAAGAGCATTAAGGGAAACGCCTTTCCCACGATGAAGCATTTGTTTTTGTCCGGGATGCTGGTGGGAATGAAAACCTTTCTTGTGTTTAATTTGAAGTGTTGATATCCACAAGATATATTTGTGGTTTCAAGTACCAAAAAAGATCAATGTAGCTTTACAGCTTCTCTCTCTCTGGAGCTCTAGCATTTACAAGTCCAGCAGCCAATCAGAAGAGAGGATTGAATAAAAATAGGATGGTGGCTTTGGGTGGGCCACAGTGGTAACTGTGACCTTTATAATTACAAGAGACATTGAAACCTAACTTTACTTTAGTGCCACATTTGTTTCAGTGGCTTCATTTCTTAATCTTAATCAATGATGTAAACATGTAAAACATGTTGATGTGTAAGATTTGTTCTTCTCATCCGAACCCTTGGGACACTGGTCGCTCTTTTGTCTGTGGTTTCCCCTTTAGTGTAACTCCACTGAAACAGATGGTGATATGGTGTTTTTTCCTATCAGGAACCATAACAGATGATTCCATTTGATTCTAACAAATACACTTATATCCTGGTAAGAGACAAAGTACGGTACGCCATTCATGAGCCTTCAATGTACAAATATGAGCTCCTTTAGAATGAGTGCAACCTACCACCAGAGGGGGATGTAGAGCAGGCCAGGCAGCGACAAAGCCAATGAGAGAGATCTCCAGTCTCTAATAAAGTAAGCGAAGGCAGGCAGCATCATGAAGCCAACAGCGAAACCTAAACACGTGCCTAATGATGAGTAAAGAACTCGCACGTTGCCAGTCAAGACCTCAGCTCCTGCACGCAGAGAGAAAGAAATATAATCATTTGGATGTGTGTCGAACAAGGATGAGAAATCTATAAAGTTATTTACGCTTTCATTGTAAGTAGGAGACGAAAAAAGAGATCCATATATTTACCCAGCACTAAAGCAGCTACAAAGTTGGATATCTGCCCCAAACCATTGATGAAGAGGAGGATGGTTACCATTAACCATGAGGTAGAGTAGACGAGAGCAAAGGTAAAAACTGTCTGAAGTCCAATGGTTGCAAAAAGAACAGGCTTCCTTCCAAATCTGTAGGGAGAAGTAAAATAAATCAAGTAATATCAACCAGATAGATTGTACAGTCGTCTACCACTAAATGTTGTACTGTGTATTGTCATGGGGGGAGGAATCACTTGGGTTCTTGAGTAACATCTTGTAGTAAATATCAATATATTTAGTTTCCAAATACATGTATTGCATCAAAGATTTTACTGAAGTAAAAGTATAGAAATATTTTGAGTATGAAAAGTGAAAGCACCCATGATGCGGAATCAGTTTCAGCGGGATTAAACCACAGACACCTCCCACAATGATATATATTTTTCATTTTTGTCCACACAAGATAATAATTGCCATGCAGAAAGTAAAATACAGTGAAAGATAAGAATGTCAAGACTTCAAATGCCACATCACATATATAATAAAAGTGCATTGTCTTTATATACGGGGTTTACAAGTTATAGCCCTGCAGCCTTTAGAATTTTCTCGTACATTACAACATGACTTAATAATACATTGTTCACACAAAGAGCAAGTTGTTTTCGCACCTGTCTGACAGAAGTCCTGAGAAGAAAGATCCACACAGACTTCCCAGGAAAAAGACTGTGGCAGTTAAGGGCTGCTTCCACTCTTCACTGCACACCAGGTGAAACTTAAATATCATGAACAGTTGAATAAGGAATTACACGAAAAAAAAGATATCATTACCTC